GTTTGTTCCTTTCGCCCCAATCACCTCGCAACTTCCTAGACATGGAGTGAAGATGGGCTTTCTGGAGATCTGTTGTCCTGAGCTGGGGCCAGCAGACGTGGGGAGTGGGGAGATGCCTGAGGGGAGGGCCTGCCACGCTGTGGCAGTGAGAGAAAAGGGTGCCCGAGGAGAATGGCTCTTGTACCAGGTTGTCCTTGCTAGGCTGGCCACATGGCCGGGGATGCTTCACTCAAGTGGAAATGTCCTACTCCCGAGGAGAGGGGCAGGCAGAAGACAGAGGTTGTGTCCTGCTGGTCAGTGCCCCCCATCCTCAGCCTTCCTCCTGCATGTCCCTGCAACTTTGCTTACAGCCCTGGGGAAGTGGGTCTTAGGGGGCCTGAGGGAGTGGGTGCCTGGTGGACTCCCCAGATCACTACAGTGTGGGCAGCTGTCTGGATGAAACTTGAATGCCCTTTTTTGTAGTATTCTTCTTTCCTGCTCCTCCCTTCCCTGAGTCTGTGCTCTGAAGCACCTCTAGGAAGGGTGGCAGAGTCAGCAACCAGGCAATTAGTTGTAGTGTCTCTGCTTCTCCAGCCTCTGTCAGCGTTTTCCCAAAGCTGGCGAGCTGCTCAGTGCCCAGCTCCTCCCTGCTGGATGTGAGGCCAGCGATGCAGGGACACGGTGTGGGAGGAACACAGCGTCAGGAGGGACAGAGTGTTGCAGGGACACTGCATCAGAGGCTGGCAGGCCCTTGTGGACCAACGCTTTGAAGCATCCCCTTTATTGTCTTGAAAAGGAAAGAAATTAGTAATCTGTCCTACTCGTGCTCAGAACTAAACACACACACATGTGTATGTGCACCTGTAACATAAAGGAGGAAGAAAGGGGTGCTGTCCTATGTCAGAAAGTCATTTGTGGTTGAGTAAGTCAGTGCTTGGGGACAGTTGTGCTTGATGCTGAGAAGGTGACAGTAAAAAATGTACCTGCTCTGCTGTGGCTATGGTTGATTTTTTTTTCCTGAATGGTGAACAACTCTTAGTAAAATTCTGAACAAACAAGGCAGTCTGCTGTGATTCACAAGGTAGTAGCACCCCTGCACACCGTGGAGTGAAGGGAGGGGCACACACGCCACATGGGCTGAGTCAGGGTCTTGGCTCAGAATGAGGTCCCCAGGTCTTCACTGTGTGAACCCCCAGCTGGGTGTGGGCACGCTGGTGGGAATTGGAGGCTCCCGTGCCCCTGAGGGGATGTGCTGCAGCTCTTGGCTGGGTGCAGGTACAAGACAGCTGGGTGCCTGGTAGAGGGTCAGAATGTAGAAGCCACTTTGTGTCAAGTGAATTGCACTCCTTTCAGGAACCTTATGAAACAATAGACAGATGTTCCTATGAGTTTGGGTATCAGTCAGGTGAGGGAGGCTGACAGTTTGGAGGGCAGGTGCCACTGCCACTGCTGAGTTCAGAGACCTAGGCTGTGAGGGTCGGCAGGGACCCCTCTGAACTCAGCTCAGGGACAGTAGGCTGAAATCAGGGCTGAACAGCCCCCAGCAGGGACACAAGTGGTCTACTCTGGCCCCTCACCCTGGCGGCCTCCCAAGCCCTGTGTCCATCCAGGGAGTGTCTGCAGTCCCAGGGCCTGAGCCCTCCCCACATGTGAGCTGCTCCTGCCTCCTTGTGCATTGGACACACCACTGAGTGCCTGGGCCTAGCCCTCAAGAGACTTCATGGGCCTGTGTGCACGGGGCAGCTGCTCTGGCTCTGGAGAGCTGGTGTGTATTCTCAACGGTCATGCCTGTGCTGTACGAGGTGTTAAATGCTTGCAGTGAAACGTCTGGTCGTCCCTTTCTCAAAAAGCTACTTGTTTTTTAAGGACTGGTGGGGTGAAGCAGGGGCAGGGATAATTGTGAAGTTCTGCAGCAAGAAGTGTCAAGCTCTGAGAGTTGTCTGAGCTGGTTCAGTGGTGAGATCTGGCTGGTGCTGTCCTTACGGTGGTAGATGCTGCCTCTCTGGGCAGGCTTCTCTGAACTTGGTGAGTCTGTATTTTCTATGCATTTATAAAGCACACCTTACATTTTTATCCAGATTTGGGAGATGGGCAGGTGAGAGGCAGAGCCAGCATGATGAATATACTTGAGATGTTTCTGATATCCGGGTGAGCATGTCAGCCTTTGGGCTCCCTGGCCATCCTCAGCTGGCTCCTGCTGTCTACTGTAGGGACCTGCCGTCCACTTTCCTCAGGCCCCTCACACAGGCCACTCTGCCTTCCTGGGGGTGCCCGAGCCAGGCCATGGAGGCCACCTGTCCCCAGAGGCTGTAGCTGGGGCTGGAGGGCCCGTGGGCAGGTTGTGTTCAGAGAGAACGGCTGCCTTCCGTGAGTCTGAGTCATTTAGTGGTCTCTTCCCTGAAAGTCCTGTTCTCTATGAGCCCTCTGACCCAGGTGGTGGGCTGTGCAGTGGGGCAGGGTGGGGGTGGCTTGGGAAGAGAGCTGATCCCTCCTTGGTGCCAGCTCCCAGCTCTGAGTACCTGTCCCCACAGGTCCCTCTTGGGCATTTGGTGGAGCGTTGAGCAGAGCCCCTGGAGGGTGGGGACCATTCGTCCTTTCTGAAGTTGAAGTCATGAGTAATGAGTTGGGCAGGACTCAGGCAGGTAGGTCAGCGAGGCGCCAGCTGCCTCTCGGTGCCATTTATGGGAGGAGGCCTAGTGAGCCACCACCGCCGAGACCGGCGTCCTCCCCAGAGGCAAGTAAGGGCAACAGCACAGCTCCCTGCCCCCTGCTTCCTCCTGGGCCCTTCCTGGGTGTCTCTCTCCTCCCTGCAGCCCAGGATATGCCCTTGAGCCGTGGACCTTGAGGTCCTTTCCTGGGGGCTGGCCTTCCCAACTGACACCTGTCCAGTCCCCATGGCCCAAGCTCACTGGGCTCATGACTGCACGGAGGTGACGGCCCCTGGAGAATGGGTGCCTACATCCACAGCCTTCCTGGAAATCACTGTTTCCAACACTGTCCTCATGGAGTCAGCTCACCACAGGTGGAGAGCCAGGACTGAAAGGAAGGTGTCCTGGGCCAAGTTGGAGCGTCCGTTTGACAGAGAATTCTAAGAGTGTCCACCCAGAGAAGCTGGTTATCAGCAGAGAGTTGGGGGGAGGGGCAAATGCAGAGGAAGGACAGTGGAGACAGGCCTGAGTTCTGTTCCCCCCTAAAGAATGTTTATTTTGCTTGAGAATATGTGCAGAAGAAAGAAAAATAGTGGTAAAATACACACCATGTAAAATTGACCATTTTAAATATTTTTAGGTGTATAGTTCAGTGGCAGTCAGTATATTCATCACCATCCATCTCCTTTTGGGCATTTGGTGGAGCGTTGAGCAAAGCCCCTGGAGGGTGAGGACTGGTCGTCCTTTCTGAAGTTGAAGTCATGAGTAATGAGTTTACTTTCCGGAACTTTTTCCTCTTTCCAACTGACACCTGTCCCCGCGCACTAATTCCCCACCCCTCCTCTAGCCCAAGGCAACCTCTGATCTCCTTTCTTGTCTCTAAATCCGATTGTTGTTTGGGCCTCATAGGAGTGGAATCAAACAGAATGTGTCCTCTTGCATCTGTCTTATTTTATGGAGTGTAATGTCTTCAAGGTTCATCAATGTTGTAACATGTGTCAGACTTTCCTTCGTTTTTAAGGTTGAATAATATTTTGTTGTGTGGATGGACCACATTTTGCTTATTCATTCTTCCATTGATAGACACTTGGGTTGTATCCAACGTTTGACAATGTGATTAATGCTGCAGTGAACACAGGTGTGCAGATACATACATATTAATTCCCTGCTTTTACTTTTTTGAGGTACAAACCTGAAGTGGAATTTTTGGATTACATGCTAATTCTGTGTTTAATTCTTTGAGGAATTACCATTATTGTTTTCCATGGTGGCTACACCATTTTCCATTCCCACCATCAGTGCACAAAGGTTCTGATTTCTCCACATCTTTACCAATACAGGTTATTTTCTGGGTTTTGTTTTATAAAAACTATCTGATGGATGTGAGGTGGTATCTCATTGTGATTTTGATGTGCATTTCTCTAATGACTTGTGGCCTTGAGCATCTTTTCATGTGCTTGTCAGCCATTTGCATATCTTCTTTGGAGAAATGTCTATTCAAGTCTCTTGCCCATTTTTTAATTGGATTTTATTTGTGGCTGTTGAGTTGTAGGATTTCTTTATATTTTCTGGATATCAGTCCCTTATCAGATATTTGACTTGCAAATACTGTCTCCCATTTTGTGGGCTGCATTTTCATTCTTTTGAGTTGTCTTTTGATGCACAGGAGCCAGGTTTTGACACAGTTAGAAGTCAGCCAGGTGGAAGGACCATCGTGGTAGCAGCCACACATGCAGCGCTCTAAGGTTGGCTTTGCATACACATACACAATGTGTGAGAGCAGTATCCATGCTAAAAGTACCTATTTCCAAGCCTTCTTAGAACAAGTGTGGTAAACAGCCAAGAAACTGATGACATTTTTAAGGCTTAAGAGAGGAGGAGGAAAGACAGCTTTTAGGAAGTTTTGTGATGTCCCATAAACCAGCTGAAGATCTTACATGTAAGGTAAAATGTCCAGCACTGCCTCCACTCCCACCAACCTTTCTTGGACTGACTCTTTTTTTTTGCATAAAAGTATAAAAAAGTAAAAACTAAAGACATGGCAAGCAGAGATTCTCCAGAGAGTGCTCCAGAGAAATGGCATTTTAGAAATTACCTTACCCTTGACAGTGCTCCAAGCATGCTCCAGTGTGAGGACCTGGGAGTTATAATGGACCTAAGAACTCAGAAAGCCGAGTAGCTATCCTGAAGTGGTTTGGTTCCCAGCCTGGCCGCCTTCCCTTTGGCCAGTGCCATCAGCACCAGCACAGGCCTCTGGGATGACACGAGGGCAGCCATATGGGGTCGCTGGGCTGGAGCCACATTTCTGCTCGGCTACAGGGACTGGGCCCTGGCCAGATGGCGCTCCTTCAGTTGCCCTCTGCTTCCTTGCAGGGATCGACTACAAGACCACCACCATCCTTCTGGACGGCCGGCGGGTCAAGCTGGAGCTCTGGTGAGTCTGTGGTGCAACCTAGGTGCCCGGGGCGGGGCTACTGCACTTCAGTTGTTGTGTGGGGCCAGGATGGCTGGCAAAGTAAGTTGGGAATCCTTAAAGAAGCAGAAAGGACCCCATTTACGTGTCCCTTAGAGTAGCTGTTAACACCGCCCCTGTGCGAATGTGAAGTGGAGTGCGGTGCAGGACCCAGACAGTCTGGGGCTGCTTGTCTTGACAGAGCTTAGCTCCCTTTTGCCCTTAAAGACTCATTTCCACAGGGGCCCTGGCCCTATCTCCACAGCCTTTGCTAAGCTCCACGTTAAGGGCATTTCCAGAGCCTCAAAGTCAAGATGTAAATTTGCACAGGTTTAAGGTTCTCCAGTCCCGCAGGGCAGTCTTCCAGAGTGCCCAGGCCCACAGAGTGGGACAGGAATGGGTGGCGAGTGCCTTGCAGGGATCACACGGTGCATGCTGGGGTCCCTCGGGCTGTATCCCCAATCCTCCTTTGTTTCAGGGACACGTCGGGCCAGGGCAGGTTCTGCACCATCTTCAGGTCCTACTCCAGGGGCGCACAGGTAAGACCAGGGGTGCTGCCAGGGCTGTTCTCCAGTAGGGCCACTCTCCTTATGCATGTTGGCCACCTGATACCCCACTTGCAGGATTCTTTCCCAAGAAGTTTTGATATTTGAACATTAGGCTTCCATCCAAGAGCCCAAACAAGTTTGCCCTCTAATGGAGGGGCCTCAGCTGTCAGAGGGCGCCAGGGCCCCACAGCCAGCTCTGTGTCTTCACGGGCTCCTGTGGCCCCCACTGCCCAGAGCTGCTGCAGGAGGTGTGCTGGGACCCCATACTGTAGAGATGTCCCCCATCACCTGGTTCAGTCGAGGTGACTTCTCCACTTGCTGAGTGAGTGAGGAGGCTGCTGGGGAAGCCAGGTTGGTCTCAGGGCAAGGGCTCCCAGGGCCAGCTGGGCTGGATCACTAATCAGGCTGCGGGGACTTTGAGTCCAAGCCACTCGCAGTGGGAAGGGCTGGGAGGGATTACTGCAGGTCCTAGGCGGGCAGGTTGTCGGCAGGGAGCCAGAGATGGAGGCTGTCCCAGGGGGCTCACTGAGGAATGTGGGGGTTTGCTTGGGGTGTGGGGACTTGCTTGGGTATGTGAGGACTGAGGGGCGCGTGGGGATTTGCTCGTCCCTCTTTGTGTCTCCTGGGCCCCCCACGGCATACTTGTGTGCTGACCAAATCTGTGGGTGATTCGTCCCTGGAGGGAGGGCATGAAGCAATTGTGTGAACAGACCCGCTGTCGACTCACTGCTCCAACATGCAGGGTCTGGGGACCAGTTCTGCCTGTGACACAGGGTGGGCCTACAGCTTCTGGAATTGCTGTGGAGACCCCCGCAGTCAGCCCTGCCCAGCCCTGCCCCCTAGGTGGGATGATCTGCCAGGATCACACTTGTGTGAGGAGGAGGCATTTGGGCCTATGGGGCTGTGTAGGGATGCACTCAGCAGGAACGGGGGCAGCCTGGTTAGGGCTTTGTGAGCAGGAATCGATGACGTCTGCAGATGCCCAGGCACCTCTCCATCTTGCTGTTCTTTCTGCTCCATGGAACCTGGGCAGGAACCAGGCAAAAGTCTGCAGTAGGGCTTGGACTCAGTATGCTTAGGTGTTGATGTTACCAGCCTTTCCCCAGGGCCTTCCTGAGCCAGAGCCTCTCAGATGTGGCGAGAGGCCGGGGAGACTTGTACTAGGCTTGGCGGCTCCATCCTGGGAGCTCCTGCAGAGGTGTGGACGATGGTGCTGCCTGTCCACCAGCTCCATCCCTCAGTGTGTGCCCAGTATCAGGAGCCTTTGGAGCTGGTGCTTAACCTGGCACTTCCACCTGGAACAGCTGATCTTAAATGATCAGAAAGACAGAAGTGCTCAGGGTGCAGATTGCACCAGATGTGAGATTGAGTAAGGAGAACTTCCTCACAGCCCAGTGTCCTCAGAAGACACATGGGAGAGCTCATGTGCCAAGGAGTGTGTCCCACGGGCCCTCTTTTTGTAAAGGAGGGACTGCGTGCATGAATTTATACATACAAGGAGGTGAGAAAGCTAAATTCTGAGGGGTGGTATCCATTATCTCTGGACCACTGATAAGTTCTGTTGTCTTCCCTTTGATTTTGAATATTTCTCAGTTTTTCTGCGATACACCTGTTAACTTTTATAATGAAAAATGAAGAGATAAGGGGAGTAGTTACCTTGGGTTATGATAACAGAGGGTGATTAGGAAATATTGAGAAAGGCCCTGGGAGATTAAACCTAAGTGGGCTCAGCTGTCCGCTTGCTTTGAGTGTAAATGCAGAGTGGACCGGGGACTGACAGAGGACACATCTGACAGCCTGGGCAATGGCCAGAGCACACACTTTGGGGAAGGGATACTGTTACCACGTCCACATTCTGTCCAAAGCAGCCAGGACAGTTGGTGTGTATGCATCCTTGCATCCTTGCTTATGCCGAATTCTGTGCTCATTCTGGAGGTTCTTGTCGCTTCTGGGCTGGAGGAGCCCAAAAGCAACAAGACACCTCTGTGCCTTGATTGGAATGGTAGTTCCTCAGGACATTTGCTGGAGGAGCCCGAGTGCACATCTCAGGCCTGGGGTTGGGGGTGGGGCTGGTTTCCTTGGGTCCTCTACTGCATTATCAGTGCTTGGCCATCCGTTTCCATCCTGCTTGGCAGGTGGCAGTGGAGGTGAAGGTGTTTCCCAGATCTTTCAGCAAGGGGCTTTGCAAAGCCCCTGACCATACAGACTAGCAAAACCTTCTTTCCAAGTCAGGTTTTGTATTTCCTGTCACCCTCCCACCCTCAGTGAAGACCAGAGAGGCCTTGCAGTCAGTCCCTCAGGATCCAGGTCACAAAAGCCACCAGCCAACTCCTGGCTGCTGTCGCCTGTGCTACACAGGACTGTCTTGTGGCTTTTACTACTGCTGCGGGAGAGCCAGCCCCTGTGCGGTTCCCCCAGGCTGGGTGTGTGGAGGGAGCCAGGGGTGGGCAACATTCTGTTTAGTTGGGGGTTTGGGGTCAGCCGGACCAGTACCAGGAAGAGTTTGGCCAGGCACTTGTCTCTTTCTTGGAGGGAGCAGGATGGATCAGTTTTCTGAAAATGGGTTTTAGGTTCACATGAGAATGGTCTGGTGCGTGCTGAGCATCAGGTGGGTGCTGACCAGGGTACCAGTAGCCACTTGTCCCCGCCAGGTATGGGGCGTGCACTCCCCTTTCCAGTGTGTGTGCTTCTGGGCAGGGCCTGGTGCTTATGGGGCAGATGCTTCCAGCCACAGCCTCTTGTTCCTTGGAAGCTTGACTACATAAGTGCATGACACATTCCAAAGTAAATTTAATAAAAAATGACACCTCTGTGCCTTGATTGGAATGATAGTTCCAGGACATTTGCCCAAATTCATCGAACCTAAAGTCTGCATTTTCTGGTATATAAACTGTAGCTCATCAATCGCCTTGGCAACAATAAGGGCACCTACTTCTAGGCCCAAATTCTATGTCTGAGGAATTTCTCTTACAGCTTGAGTTGTATATGCTCAGCGGTAATAATACTGGGTCCATTACCAGAGAGCCAGCAGCTGTACCATCTAATTAGCCTGGGTCAAGGTGCAGGCCACTGTTAGGAAAGAGTCCTGGGGGTGTTGGGTAGTTTGCACCATGACCCTGTCTGTGTTAGGAAATGCCTGGGAAACACTCGAAAGTGAGTAGCAGGTGATTCCTGGAGAGCTACAGGGTAGGTGGTTGGGGGAGTAGCTTCTATTTATTCTATTGTAAAAGTTAGTAAGTGCCCTAGAGTCTTACTAACTTTTAAAAACCTGAGCCAAAAAAAGGAAAAAAATATATATATACATATGTGTGTGTCTGTATATATATAGTGACAATCTATCTGCCCCTCCTTCTGCCTCTTTGAGACACACAGCTGACTCTGGAGTCCTGAAGGGGTGATCCTGCTAATCAGGAGCCTCATTTTGGTTTCTCAGCCATCCTGCTTGTGGTCCGCCGCAGCTATTTTCCCCTGCCAAGTCCATGAACATTTTGGTCCCTGCCAGCAGTGTGATCAGCTCTGTGTGTGTCCTTCCCCTGGTGACTCCTTTGTCACCCTAACCTGTCAGACTTGGGTGGTGGTGCTGGACAGAGACTGTTGCTAGACAGGAGGGGCAACCAGGGGCTCCCCAGCAGACTTGGGATGTGGTTGGAGCCTGAACCCAAGAGATAGGCTTCTCCTCATTTGCTTGAGGTTTTAAACATTACATAGGAAGCATAAGAAAGAAATGATTCCCCATGCAGCCCTTCAATGTGTGGTCACATCCATGGAAACCTTTTTTGAGTGGTGTATTTATATTTGTATTTTTAGAATACTGCCCTCTGTGTAACTTTGGGATCTGCATTTGTTACCTCACACTCTAGTGATAAGCATGTGTACTTCTCAAGTACTGTTACTTACATTGCCCGCCTGGGGAGTCTGCACCTTGCTCCAGCTGTTCAGCAGCACTGGGGGCTGCATATTTAGTTTGTTTCTCATTTTTTTTTGTTTTGTTTTATGGGCAGTGCTTTGATGAGCATCTGTGAAGGCTGGTTTTTGGACATATCTTCAATTATCTCTCAGAAGAGGGTTTCTGAGTTGGAGGGCTAGTAGCCCTACCCCCACCCCAGCATCCAGGGAGAGGGCTTTGGTCCCTGTGCCCCTGACAACAGGATGAATTTCTTTTCAGTCATATTCTGTTGCCCACCATAGTGGACGATTTCCCTCCAGGCCTAGCTCTTCCTCCCCAGCAAGCCAGGGGCCTTCCTGGAGCTACATGTGGAGTTTAAAGTAATCTTGATCTTCATCTTAACAGGGCCTACTCTTCCAGAATTTGAAGGACATCTTTAAGAGGAAGGGATTTAAAATTCCTTATTTTGAGATGGAATATGCCCTGTTCCTTCTAACTCAGCTGCACTTTTCTCCTCCCCTGTGTGTGATAGAAACGTGGGCTGAATGAATGAAGCCTTCCTGAGACAGGGAGGAGTGTGAATCCTGCTTGCAGATGGGTTTTGGTACCTGAGCCTGCTACAGAGTGGAATGTAGAGTGAGAGACAGGCAGTGGGCCAAGGGGTTGCGCTAGCTTGCTGGAGTCACCTTCCCGAGGCTCTTGACTGGTCGCCGCTGAGATGTTTAGAGTAGGGACAACAAGGGGAGCTAGGTGGGTGGAGTAAGTGGTCTCTGAGGGATGCGATGGGAAAGCGCATGCAGCTGCTGGAGTGACTGAAGTCCTCTGTAAGTGTGGGTTGGAAACCACAGAAACACCTCTGCTCAGCACCCCTGGCATCCCCCAGGAAGAATGCACTGTTGGACAGTGCCCGGGACACGGCCCCACACCTGCCTGCCAAAATTGTCCTCAAGGCCTGCCCTTCACTATAGTTCCATGTGCCCCTTTCTTAGCTCAAGTGAATTTTAAATGATCACAGGGTAACACAGTGTGCTTGGAGGAAAAGGTGTTGAAAAAAATGCCAGTTCTGCCCCCTTCTGAATCCCCAAGGGGAGAGAGGAGGCAGCCTTGAGCCCAGGAGATCCCTGACAGTCAGACCACCACCCCACATGGCAGGTGTCGAGGGCCACAGTGAGGAGACAGAGACAGGGGTAGCTGAGCCCTGTGCACAGAGCCCCTCTTAAATGCAAGAGGAAGGCTCAAAGCACATTTTCCACATTGCCCCGTGTTAGGTAAATTGTATGGTCTACCTGACACCTATCTGGCTGGTGCCCGAGTGTCCCTAGTCCTTCTTGTGTTGGGTGGGAGTGAAGTGGGGCAGAGCCCCAACAAGACCCCTTCCATCCAGGTGGCCCCTGGGCCTCGCAACACCTGAGTTTCCCTTGCAGGGGATCCTCCTGGTGTATGACATCACCAACCGCTGGTCCTTCGACGGCATTGACCGATGGATCAAGGAGATCGATGAGGTAGGTGTGCTTCTGTGGACACCCCCTTCCAAGGTCACCCCCTTCCTGGGGCATGTGTACTCGTATCCTGGTGGGGAGTCTCTGTGGCCCCCATTTGCTGCCCCTCCCATGCCCTGGCTCTGTGCATCCTCTGGTGCACTGATTGCTGTGGCACTCTAGGGTGGGGTCCTGTGTCCCAAGGAGACTCAACCTGTCACAGAATCAACAGAGGGCCCCTCCTGCTTGGGGGGTACAGCGCAGAGAGTGGGCACCCCGCGTTTGTGCACCTGATGAGTCCTGTACCTCCCAAGCATGCACCCGGGGTCCCCCGGATCCTGGTTGGGAACCGGCTGCACCTGGCCTTCAAGCGGCAAGTCCCGACAGAGCAGGCACGCGCCTACGCGGAGAAGAACTGCATGACTTCTTTGAGGTCAGCCCGTTGTGCAATTTCAATGTCATCGAGTCCTTCACCGAGCTGTCCCGCATCGTGCTCATGCGGCATGGCATGGAGAAGATCTGGAGGCCCAACCGAGGTGAGGTGGGGCCAGGTTCAGGGGGCGGGGCCCCGGAGGACCATGGGGTGGGACTACAGAGGGGCAGGGCCATGCTGCAGTGGGTGGGATCTTGGAGGGCCATAGGGCATTGCAGGCCTGCCCTCCAGCCCAAGATTCCACCCCATCTACCAGCACTACCCGCAGGGGAGCAGGTTCCAAGCTCACCACCGCCCCCGCCCCCACCCCACCTCCCAGTCCTCCACTCACTTGGTGCCCAGTCCCTTAGGCTCAGCAGTACCACCAGAGCGGAGCTGCCAAGATGGCAAGGGAAGCTCAGTCCCTGCCTGGCTCCCCAGGGCACCTCTCAGTGTGTGACTCCAGGGAGGAAACGGGAGAAGGGTGCCTGGTGCAGGGTCAGGGGGCACCCAGGTTAGGGAATTCTGGGAGCTTGGTAGACCTCCCCGATCCACAGCCTCTACCAGGCGTCACCTGTGCTCATCTGCAGGTGAAATGGCCGCTTGCCCCTCAATGTCTCCCCGTACTTCACTGCCCCACCCCTCTACAGTCTGACCCCATTCCTCACAGTCTGACCACCCCATCATCTGACCCCCATCTGCAGTGTTCAGTCTGCAGGACCTTTGCTGCCGGGCCATCGTTTCCTGTACCCCCGTGCACCTCATCGACAAGCTCCCGCTGCCTGTCACTATCAAGAGCCATCTCAAGTCCTTCTCAATGGCCAATGGCATGAACGCCGTCATGATGCATGGGCGCTCCTACTCGCTGGCCAGTGGCGCTGGGGGTGGCAGCAGCAAGGGCAACAGCCTCAAGCGGTCCAAGTCCATACGCCCCCCCCAGAGCCCACCCCAGAACTGCTCACGGAGCAACTGCAAGATCTCGTAGTCACCTGCTGTCCTGATGTGCCCTGGGAGGGCTGACGCCTTTGGAGAGTTCCCGGCTGGGCCTGGGCCGAACACAGTATACAGGGAAAACTTTGGCCACACAGCCCCTCCTGGGAAGCGTGGGGATGCACCTAGTAGGCTGGGGTCCCAGCCAAACCAGTTCCACAGGATGGGGAGGGCCAGGCTGCCGGGATTGTGGCAGAAATGCCCAGGCCTCCAAGGGGCGGCTGAGAAGAGCCCAGGAGGCAGCTTGGCCTGGCCCCAGCCTTGAAGGGGCTGTCCCTGGTGACTGAGAGGCCAGATTCCCTTTCTTATTTATGTAAAAGATGGTTCACCCCTTTTGTACATTTTTAAAGAAGCAGCAGGGAAGCCTTGATGCAATGACACGGTGACGACTGTGGGGATGAGCTTTGGGACATTGGGAGAGGGGGTGTATTTGAGGCAAAGATGGGAAGGAATCCACCATCACAGCTTGAATCTGAATTCACCTAATACTTCACATGGGGGTGTGGGCTGTGTAGGGGCCAGTGGGGACATGTGGAAGCTTTGGGCAGGAACCTTGAACTCCCCAGCTACACTCGTTGGCTTCTCTGAGCATGGTGAGCAGCATGCCCACCACGTAGCTCTGGGCAGCGGTGAGCGTGCGGGCCCCAGCAGTCTGCACAGTGGGTCTGCAGCTTCAGGCTCCCGCCAGCCTTCTGGACGTGTTCCAGTGTGTCATGGAGCTCTGGGCTCAGAGCCAGGGCAACTCACAGGTTACCGAGTGGAATTTCCATGTTTCTTGGAAAAGGGGACGTGGGGTGCGCCCCCTAACTCCTTCCCCAGCTCCCCCTCCCCTACATGGGGGCCAACAACCTTCCTTCCCTGATTCTGCACCTCTGGTTCTGTTTACATCTGTTGCTACATGAAATTGGCTCGGCGTCTCTGAGTTGAAGGCACAGAGCTACTTATAGATGATAAGTACTCCCTGGGGCCACCGGGCCCTGGGCAGATCTGGACTGAGCCCACCCCATTTGCCTTCTGGGGTGTCTAGACCCTGCTCTGGCCAGCTTCTGTCTCCTGACCTTGGGTGTGATCCCATAGCTGCTCCTTACCTGGTGTCATCCCTCTGTGAGGTCACCTGTCACCAAACCTTTCTCACCCTTTTCTTAGTGGTGGATGCTGAGCCCCTCCTCGAGGACCCACCAGCCAGCCTGAGCTGGAGGCCAGGCCTCCTTCCGTCCACCTGGCTGGTGACGTGGCCACTGGTCACACTGGTGCTCAACTCTACCTCCTGCCCATGGGCCCTTCCCTGGCCTGTGATACCCCACCCCAACCCCCTGCTCGGGGACTGTCCTGGGTGCTGCTGTTCTGGGAGGCGAGGCAGGGAGGGCCTGCAGCACGTGTGAGCTGGGAGCCTGGCTGAGGCCTGGCTGCCAGCAGGGGTCAGGCGGAGGAGGCCCCACCTGTCCTGTCCTGCCAGCAGGAGCCCCTTCTCTGAACTTTGTTTTGAGGAAATAGATGATCCTGCATTCACCATATCAACACTACCCTTTGCTGCTGTCCACACTTGCACCGTTCCTGGGCTTGTTTTGGATGGTTTTAGTTTCTTTGTACAGTAAACATAATTCAGCTCTGGACTGCAGGCTGTGTTTTGAGTGAATGGCTGCATGTAGGTGTTAGGGTTTCACTGCAGATTCTCTGTCCTCCATGACTGCCCTGCTTAGCTTCCATGTCCTGGCCTGAGGGCTGCCGGGTTTCTTTCAGGGCTGCCTGTGTTCCTGGAGGGCCAGGAAGCAGCTCTCCTCAGCCTGTCCCTGCCTGTGCAGTACTGCAACCCTCAGCCACTGGGACCACCTGTTGCTTGTTGTCCCTGGGGCCAGAACTTGGGACATTGAGCTCTCTTTCGTGGCCTGGGCAGGGCCTGATTGCCAAGTTCACACTGCTCCCTGCGAGGGTGGTGGGCTGGAAGGACCATACTCCAAGACTCACCAGAGCTGCAAGAACCTGGATCTTGGAGTTGGCATCCTCAGTGGGAGAGCCATCTGCTTACAGGGTGTGCAGGGCTTAGCTCAGGGACATGACAGATGCCCTAGAGACCAGCAGGGCTGCGGTTGGGGCAATTCCTCTAAAAGTGGCCCCCACTCTCGGGAAACACTGCCTCTGGCTGTGGCTCCACAGGGGTGTCCTGGGCCTCAAGCCCCTATGCCTGGGGACCCCACATAGGGCAGGGGACTGATGGTGTCCTCTACAGCTGGGGCATCTCTTGGTCTCATTGGGACCAGACAGGGTCACAGGACATTTTTCCATCCAGTCTCAGAGCAGACACTTCCTGGGGCCCCAGCCCCCTGGATAGGGCACATTATGGCCGTGGCTGCATTTGATGTCCCCACCTACCCCCATCCCTGGGAGGGGCTCCATGGTGCAAGGGCCTGAAGTGGGCAGGGGAAGACCTTTGGGTCCTGTAGTTCCTTAAGCTCTCCTGTGACATGCTGTTTTCAGGGTGCTTTTAGATGCCCATGATTGCTGTCAGGACTCAGCCACAGGGCCATGGACACTGAGAATCACAAGTCAGACCAAGTAGATACCCTCGGCCACATTTCCAGTGTTCACAGCTGTGTGACTGGTCAGCATATACAGGCCATTTCCTCCCTGCCCACTTCTCTGGGACCTCACTTTTTGGCACCTATTAATCAGTTGAGGAAGGGCCTAGACCAGAAGTTGGGCACCTGGGTTTCAGCAGGGGACTGGGGAGGGGTGCTCACTAAATGCAAAGTCCTGCCATGCATCAGCCTCTCCCAACCCCGTCAGTCACTGGTCAGAGAAAGGCCCGGCTACACCCATCAGGCATCTTTGTGCTGCAGAGGGTTAACCCCCCAGCAGAAAGGGCTTAGATTTGATTCCAGAACTTGTTGGCAGGGTATGACCTTCAGAAGCGGCATGGAGGAGGTTGTGGAATCTCTCCTGGGAAGGGAACAAAACCCCATTGTTGCTAGGTGGGATGCAGAGCCCCTGCACCTCTGCCTGGACAGTGACTTCCAGGTGGCGGGCCAGCCTGGGCCTGCTTTGGGAAAGATCCTGGCCCGGGGATGGGTAGGGGAGCCCGAGGAGTTGTCCAGCCCTGCCCCCTCCTGCAGGGCAGCTTTGATCCCTGGGCCTTTCCATCCCTGAGCCCAGGGCCTGGAGGAAGGAGGGGCTCCGGTTACAGGGTTCCCCCTCCCTCTCCAGCCAGAGCCAGCCCTTCTCCGCCCCTTGGTGACCCTTGTGGCCAGTGTCTCTGTGCTTCTGGGTGCTGGCCCCTCCCCAGCCTTCCTCGCCTTTCCCCGCCCCCTGCCCTGAGCTGACCAGAGGGGCCAGGCGGGGGAGGGGCCAGTGCCACATGCACAGACTCAGCTCGGAGAGACCCGGACCCACCCAGCCCCTGGGACAGCGTCTACCGTGAGCTCCGACCTTGCTGGAGAGAGGGGAGCCCAGGGTCAGAGGGCAGGGGTACCGACCACAGGTGTGGGAGGGTGGATGCCTGTAGGGAGTGGGGCTCGGCAGGGCCTGAGGAGGGGCTAGTGGCCACACAGCCCCACCCCTGGTCCCACAGTCCCCATGCCGGCCTCGAGGCCACTCCTGCCGCTGCTCCTCCTGGTTGGGCTGACTTCAGGGGCCAACCTGCCGCCAGGACCCGGGAGCCATCCGGGTGTGTGCCCCAACCAGCTCAGCCCCAACCTCTGGGTGGACGCCCAGAGCACCTGTGAGCGTGAGTGCATCGGGGATCAGGTGAGCGTGGGCACATCCCTGCTGGCCCGGTTGGGGGGTGGGCAGACTGTAGGGGCCCAGAGTGTCTGGAGGTTCTGGCCAGCCTGGGGGAAGCCCAGACCTCACCCCTGCCCTAGGCCTTGCCTGCAGAGGGGACCCTGGCAGCCCTCAGCCCTGGGAGTTCACTCCCTCCTTGGGCTCCCCACTGTTCTGCTAGTTTCACACTATGCTCTGTATGAGGGTCCCAGGGGAAAGACACCCCTAGTCTTTGCCTTCGTGTGTTTGAAGATTGGGGGGCCCCCTTCTTACTCCCCAGACCCGCACACCCCCACCATGCACCACTGAAGTGGCCTTAAACACATTTTATGTCCTCTCCAGCCTCAGTGTCCACATCTGTATGACAGGAATAATAAAAAAATCTGCTTTGGGGACCAAAGGATTCAATGAGGTTCAATGAGATGACATGGGTGATGGGCATACCAGGGAGCTGTAGTTCACTGTACAACATGGCATGCAAACTTCTGCAAACCTGCTCAGCTCCCAGAGGGGAAACAGATTCAGGGAGAGGCAGCAGGAGATGCACCCCTGACCGTGCTGGGGGGTATTAGGGTGTCCACTGAGCTGTCCCCCACCCTCTAGGACTGTTCAGCCACCGAGAAGTGCTGCACCAATGTGTGTGGGCTGCGGAGCTGTGTGGCGGCCCGCTTCCCCAACAGCGGCCTGGAGGTGGCACCCGTGCAGGCAGCCTCCTGCGAAGGCTTTGTGTGCCCGCAGCAGGGCTCCGACTGTGACATCTGGGATGGACAGCCCGTGTGCCGCTGCCGTGACCGCTGTGAGAAGGAGCCCAGCTTCACCTGCGCCTCGGACGGCCTCACCTACTACAACCGCTGTTACATGGACGCTGAGGCCTGCCTGCGAGGCCTCCGCCTGCATGTCGTGCCCTGCAAGCATGTCCTCAGCTGGCCACCCAGCAGCCCAGGGCCCCCTGAGACCACTGCCCGCCCGACGCCTGGGGATGCCCTGGTGCCGCCTGCCCTCTACAGCAGCCCCTCCCCACAGGCAGTGTATGTGGGGGGCACAGCCAGCCTCCACTGTGATGTCAGTGGCCACCCGCCACCTGCCGTGACCTGGGAGAAGCAGAGTGACCAGCGGGAGAACCTGATCATGCGGCCAGACCAGATGTATGGCAATGTGGTGGTCACCAGCATCGGGCAGCTGGTGCTTTACAACGCCCGGCTTGAGGATGCCGGCCTCTACACGTGCACCGCACGAAATGCTGCTGGCCTGCTGCGGGCTGACTTCCCGCTCTCCGTGGTCCAGCGAGAGCTGGCCAGGGACGGGGCCCCTGACGCCCCGGCTGAGTGCCTTCCCAGCACACAGACCTGTGTTGGCCCTGACTCTGGCCTAGTCCTTTGGCACTTTGACCCACAGCGGGGTGGCTGCATGACCTTTCTGGTTGGCAGCTGTGTAGGGAGTGCCCAGGGCTTTGAGACCTATGAGGCGTGCCAGCAGGCCTGTGCTCACGGCCCCAGGGATGCCTGCGTGCTGCCTGCCGTGCAGGGCCCCTGCCAGGGCTGGGAGCCACGCTGGGCCTACAGTCCGCTGCTGCAGCAGTGCCACCCCTTCGTGTACAGCGGCTGCGAGGGCAACGGCAACAACTTTGAGAGCCGTGAGAGCTGTGAGGATGCCTGCCCTGTGCCGCGAACAATGCCCTGCCGGGCCTGCCGGCTCCGGAGCAAGCTGGCACTCAGCCTGTGCCGCAGCGACTTCGCCATCGTGGGCCGGCTGATCGAGGTGCTGGAGGAGCCCGAGGCAGGCAGTGGCGGCATCGCTCGTGTGGCCCTGGACGATGTGCTTAAGGATGACAAGATGGGCCTCAGGTTCTTGGGCACCAAGTACCTAGAGGTGACACTGAGTGGCATGGACCGGGCCTGCCCCTGCCCCAACGTGACAGTGGGCGATAGCCCACTGGTCATCATGGGCGAGGTACGAGACGGCGTGGCCATGCTGGACGCAGGCAGCTACGTCCGTGCTGCCAGTGAAAAGCGAGTCAAGAAGATCTCGGAGCTGCTAGAGAGGAAGGCCTGTGAGCTGCTCAACCGCTTCCAGGACTAGCCAATCCACCCACCCAACCCCACACCCACCCACCCCACCTCTGGCAGCTGAATAAAAGTCCTGGACCGCAAGGCCTGACCCTTCCCGACCTGGCCTGCTTCAGCAGGGATCCTCCCACCACATGGGGCTTTGGCTCCAGTCTGAGGTCACCAAGGAGCACCAGCCCCCTTCTAGGGAGCCTCCTGTGTCCCTGCGGAAGCACAAGTGAGGACCAGCCACTGAGGTGGTGCCACCTCCCATGGTAGAAGGCCAGACATCCAGTTCAGTGTTGTCTCAGCGATCCCTGGGTCCTCCCTCCCTCTCTCCCTCCCCTCACTGTCCGAGTGGAGCAACAGAGTCCAGGATGCCCCCAAGCCCTGACCTACAGGCCAAAGCCCTCCTGCCCACAGTATGGAACCCTCGGAGAGACAGCCTGCCCACCCATCATCCTCCATACCAGCAGTGGGGCAGCAGGAAACACTTTATTTCCAGGCTGTCAGCAGCCTTGTGGCCACTGGTCAAGAACTCCTAGCCTGAGCAGAGCCAGTCCCCATAGTGTGGCCCAGGGAAGCAGGTGCTGGTAGTCTGGGTTTATCCCAGGGACACAGGCATACTGGAGGAGGGGGTTACTCTTTCCGGAAAATTAGGCACTTGTTGGCTGGCATGTCCACCTATAGGAGACACTTTGGCTGGAGAAGCTGCCTCTGGTCCCCAGGGAGGCTGCACCTGACCATAGTCCTCTCCACCTACCATCCTCTCCAGGAGCAGGCCACTAGCCTGGCCCAGGTCTTCCAAAAGGGCTGTGTCCCGCAGCCCCCACTCTGGATTTCTGCAGGAGAGAAGGAGGTGGAGTCGTGGCCTGGGGGTCGCTCAGCCCACCTGCCCCCCAAGCCAAGCCCCCTACCCACCCAGCTCTGACCTGCATCTGAGGGTCAGGTCAAAGTCCACGTTACTCTGAGGAGAAATCTTCCCATTGATGGCATAGGGCTGTGGAGACGGGGTACACAACTCTGCCTGCCGCCCACTGCCCCAGGGTCAGCCATCCTGTCATCCACTGGGCAGACTTGCAAGCTGGCACCGACAGGATGGAAAGGACACACCCCTCCCTGCCCCCCAGAGGCGGGATAGCTGAGGACCAGCTACTGAGCCAAGGGGGTGCAGGGAGACTGGCAGGTGGGGTGGGATGGAGGAGGGTATTGGAGAGAGGCAGGCCTGGGTGTGTTACAGTGATGACAGGTAGCTGGGGAAAAGAGAGAATAAGGGAGTCCAGAAAGGCAAGAACAGCCAAGGATGGCTAGGGTGGTCCTGCCAGGGCAAGCCCCACTCTGGCAGGGGCACTCACCCCATAGGTGATGAGCAGCGCCTTGGGTTTGAGCAGGTGTCCTGATGCTCTGAAAAGCCCCTGTGGAGAGGGGAGGCAGGACAGCAGTGAGGAACTTTCCTCAGACCCCTAAAAGAGCCCTGGGCCCGCGCTGGAGGCTCAGCCTGACTTCCCCGGCCTGAGTGCCCCGTCTCTGATACGGGGCAAACCTGGCACCCCACTCCCTCCCAGTGCAGGGGGAGGAATGCGCATGGAGCAGGTGGGTAGCCCCTGGGTAGTTCACCCACACTTCCTCAGAGCATCTCAGGGGGCTGATGTGGATCATGTTGATGCAGAATAGCAGGTCCAGGGATTGCGGCAGGATCCCGCCCCACTGCTCCCAATCCCAGGTCACGTCCAGGTACAGAGGGGCTTTCACGTTGGGCAGCTCATGGGCCTGAGTGGTGGCTGCAATGCTGTGGAAAGGCAGGCCGTGGGTGGGGGTGGCCTCCGCAGCCATTTCTGAGCCCCTGCAACCCGGCTTGGGAGAGGCTTAGAAGGGTCACAAAAGCCTATGGAGCCAGGGGCAGCGGGATGGGGCCCGGTCTGCCATTGCACCTGTCCAAGCCGCGCTGTCCACGTCGGACGGCTGCCACTCGGCGTAGGGGAAGGCCCGCGCGAAGTGGGCCGCGTGCTGGCCGGAGCCCGAGGCCACCTCGAGTACGCGAACGCCGCGCTGCGCCGAGTCCACATACTGCCGCAGCACGCTCAGGATGGGATCCTTGTTCCGCTCCGCGGCCGCCGCCATCAGCATCATAGTAGTCTGGTGCCGCGAGACCTGTTGGGAGCTGTGGCCTCGCAGCTGCGTTGCACGCGACCCACCTCACCACGGACTACAATTCCCAGGAGGACGCGCGCCATGCGTTAAAGGGTCCGCAGCCGCTGGAGGCGCTCAGCGAGCGGCTGTCTCCGGCGGCGGATCGGGCGACGAGCTGGGTCACCGGCTTACAGGAGCCTATCGGCTCAGCACCCGGTGTCCATGGCTGTCCTAGCTTTTTCATCGCGCTTGTTACTCCAAAATTGTGTCGTTCGCATATCACCTGAAAAGATGCTTCCCGCTTGTCTGGCTTTTTTTCGTTGATGAAATCTCTTAGGTCAGAGTTTTTTGAGATGGTGGTAAAAAAAACCTCAAAAACTCAAAAGCCTAACTGTATAGCACAGGGAAATATATACAAGATCTTGTGGTAGCTCACAGCGAAAAAATATGTGACAATGAATATATGTATGTTCATGTATAACTGAAAAATTGTTATTTTCACTGGAATTTAACACAACATTGTAAAATGACTATACACTGGAATTTAACACGACATTGTAAAATGACTATAACTCAATAAAGGCATGTTTGAAAAAAATTAGACTGATATAAAAAAGCCAAAAGCTTACTGCGCCGCCCGGGAATCGAACCCGGGTCGCAAGAATGGGAATCTTGCATGATACCACTACACCAGCGGCGCTACTTAGTAAGTGCTGGCCCGCGAGACTTAGGAGTTCGTGACGCAAGTTCCCCACACCACTCTCACACTACACAGAAAGACCAGAACGCGTGCGCCGCCGCCGCGCCAACAACAGGGATAGGAGCGCCGCGCTTGGAGAAGGACGCGACAGTGGGGGTCTCGCGGTGCGTTGGGCGCCCTGCTCTCGAGAGGGAGGAGCGGGAATGAGGGACGCGGGCTTGTGGGCAACCTGGATTCGGGTTGCACCTTGAAAACTGTGGCAACCGCCGCATTCCGAAAGTGATGGGGCGGGGCCGAAGCAGAGCTCTTCGGGGGAGGACCTTCGTAGGTGGGCGGGGTTGTGTTGTGGGTGGGGCTTCCGGTGGGCGGGATTGTGCTTGGTAAGGCTCCTTGTCGTGGGTGGGGCTCCCGTCGGGGTAGAGCTGTGTGGTGGGTGGGGCGGGCCCAGCGTGCAGGAACTGGACCTGTGCTGCTCAGAGTTTCTCTGTGCACCGAGATAACCAGCGCTAGCCCAGGGTTCATGGGTGTTGTGAGAGGTCGGTGAACCCAGGAATCAAGTCGGAGGCCGATCTGTTGTATCCAGGGTACTTCTCTGGTTGTCTTCTTGGGGTCCATGTCTCAGAAGGGGCCCTGTTAGCAGGCTAAAGGCGTTGCTCCGCTGTCAACACTAGCTTATCTCCTTAGCTGGACAACTTTTCTCGCTTGAGACCCCCATACTCGACTTCGCTCTGGCAAGGGCTCTGAGGATGGCACTGACTGGAACTTTAGCTGGGGGTTGCTGCCGAGGGGACAAGGGGCCAGAGTCTGACTGTGGTCAGACAGAGGACAACTTTGCAGCTTCTGGACAGGATATGGTATAGGGTTGGCTGGTCTGGACACACCCCCTGGGAAGTTTCCACTCAGTGGGCCAGCTTGCCCACCTCCATCCCGCCCCGGCGGCACTCTGCTCTACAACCACCCTGTTTTCTTCAGTAGACTTTCTCATTTCACGGCCCTGAGCTTTCATTACCTGACTAATGTTTTGCCTCACCTCCTCCTAGTTTGTTGGCTGAGCCATTTCTGTGTCTCCAGGTGGAGAAGTGTTCCTCAATGCAAATCCCTGCCCCTGCCCCCATCTGTGAAGATCAGTGGTTACCTGAGTCCTCACCACCCAGGCCCCTTGGCCCACCTTGCCCACTCAAGAGGCACCAGGCTTCCTGGTGGCTTCACATGGCATTCCTGGGCACAGGCCACTCTGTGCTCTTGTCATGTAATAAGAAATATATATTTGGTCTTCATCCTGGCTCCTGGCACAGAGCTTCTAAAACCCTGGAGATTTCCAGGGGTGAGAGGAGCATCTTTTATTCGTAACAAGCCCCTTTCAACCTTACTTGGGTATATATCAATGAGGTGACTTTCGGGAAATGGGAGCTGGTTGCTAGGGAACCCTGTGATTAGAGGGTTAGAACTTTCTGCCCCACTCCAGACTTCTGACTCCTAAGAGGGGGTGGGGCTGGAGAATGAACGAATCACCAGTGGTCGATGATTTAATCAGTCATGCCTGTGTCCTGGAGACTCCATACAAACCCGAAATGAAAGGGTTCAGGGAGCTTCCATCTGTAAACTCATGGTGGTGCAGAGAGGGTGGCTCCCCAGGAGGGCATGGAGGATCTGCACCCCTTCCCACCCCTTCCCTGGGCATCTGTTCCATCTAGTTCTTCCTGAGTCATGTCCTTTATGATAAACCAGTAAACAGAAGCAAAGTGTTTCCCTGAGTTCTGTGAGCTGTTTTGGCAACCCGAGGAGGATTACAAAACTCATTTTACAGCTGGTGGGCCAGAGACACAGGTAACAGTCTGGACTTGTTGCTGGCATCTGAAGTAAGGCCTGTCTTGTGAGACAGAGCCCTTAAACTGTAGGGTCTGCACTGATGCTGGGCAGTCTGTGTCCGAATTGAGTTAAATCATAAGACACCCAGTTGGTGTGCAAAGGGATCTGGAGAATTGCTTACTGAGAAAACCCCACACATTTGGTATCTGAAGTGTTGTGAGTACACCTGTGTTCTATAAGAGGAAAGGAGACTGAGACAGATCCATTTCCCAGCTTCCCCACGTTGGATGGTGCTGCTTTCAGAATTGCCCAAATGACCAGCAACATCTGTTTAACAGCCTTTGACTTCAGGTTGATATATGCTGCCATTCATTACTCTGGATTGGTTGCTGTGTGAACTGACACCTGCCTTCAGCACTCACCAAGCTCCGAGCCTGGGACCAAAGGAACAGGACACAACTGGGCAGTGGCCTTTGCTGTGAATATGTGTCAGCACACACTTTCAGGAAAGCCAAGGATGCAAGGATGTATGTCAGACTCTGGGAGGATCCAAGACCCCCAGGGGATGCTAAATATTGGATCCCTGGAAGCATCCACACCCTGGCCTGTGCTGTATGATACCCCCTGGGGTTGTGTCTTCTGGGGATTATTGATAGAGCCGGAAATACCTTCTCCTAGTCCTGCTCATTGACAAAGGGCTGTGGAGTGAGCCCCTGGGTGCTGCCCCATGATGTCCAGAGCCAACGGCAGGGTCCAGCTTCCCTCTTGAGGTCCAGGCCTGTGTGCCCACTGAACCCCCTCCCCACCCCATGTGAGTCTGAGCTTCTTCCCAAGCCCTCCAGTGCTAGATCCTGGGCCAGTCACCTCCTGTTCCCTCCACTTCCCTCCCTATGTTAATTTCCTAGAGCTACTGTAACAAATTACCCTCATGCTTGGTGGCTTAAAACAAAAATTTATTTTCTTACTGTTCTGGAGGCCAGAAGTCCAAAATAAAGATGGCAGCTCCCTCCAGTGGCCCTACAGGGAGATCCTTCCTACCACTGCCAGCTTCTGGGGGCTCCAGGAGTTTCTGGGCTTGTGGCCACCTCACTGCAGTTTCTGCCTGTCTTCACCTGGTCTTCTCTGTGTCTCTCTGTGTCCAAACAGCCCTCCTTTCTCTTACAAGGATGATCATCACTGGATTTAGGGCCTATCCTAATCTAGGATGAGCCTATTTCAAAATCTGTATTTTAATTATATCTGCAAAGATCATTACTCTAAAGAAGGTCACATGCTGAGGTTATTATGATAACTGGGGTCTGTGAGGTAAAGGCCTTCCCTTACCATGACAACCATTATTTCTGCTGGGGGAGGGCCCTTCCCTCCTGTCCAACTGCCCCTGACTCTAACTCTTGGATGGGTTCCCAGCCTCTCTGACAACAGGGAACGTTGCTGGCTGCAAAATGCTGTCTCTACTAGGACTTTGCACGCTGACTGCCATGATGGACAGTGTAGTCCAGGTAAAGCCAGGCTGACCAAGATTCCGACCCTACCAGGAGATCCCAGCTGAACTCATGGCAGCTGGCCCATTGGGACCCTGACCCCTTGGGGGCGCTCTCCCCAGGCCAAGGCAGGTCTGGTGCTCAGTTGGGTCCTGGGAGCAGTGAGGCTGGGAAGGCCCCTCACAGGGAGATCAGCCCCACCCCTCTCCTCCCCTCCAAGTGCCAGGGCTTTGCTGTCTGTCCCCCACAACCTGGGTTTCCTTCACTATGGATAACCCTTGCACTGGCTCAGTGTCTCTTAGGGACCACTGGGTTCTCTCACCCCCCATCCCCAACTGTCCCCAACCTGTCCTGTACCTCCTCCCCTCATGCCTATCAGGACCACTCATGTTTGGCTGCTCTTTCCTGGGAGTCCTTCCAAAGGCTCTGGACCCAACATTTGACCTTAGACAAGGCCCACTGGCAGGGCTGGGATATTAGGGCCTTGCAGCCTTAGCCACCAGAAGACTTAAGCAAAGGCCAGGCCTGTCCGCCCACCAACAGGCCCTGTCCTTCGCCTTCTCCATGCTGGCCTGAGAACGGTGCCTGGGAGAGGAGGAGCTCTCAGCTCATACCAGCTTGGGGGAGTGGTACTCCCCCACCCCAGGGCCTGCCAGGAACACGTGCTCTCAGGACACAGGCCCCCCACACCAGACCCCTCACCCTGTGGGGTCTCCTCAGCAATACTGAGTTAGCATTATGCTTGAGGCCACCAGGGGGCCAGGGCAGCCAGTACAGATTGATAGAGGACTGTGCTGGCCTCGACATGGCTGGGGAGAGGGAGAGGGATGGGCACCTCGGGTGGAAAGGCAGGTCAGGGAGGGGCTAGCTTGTTGGGGGGCTGCTCAGGCCTGGACTTCCTGAACATGCTCTCCCCTCTCAGGGTCACAGGCCTAGCCCAGCCTGGCCCCGCAGAGGGAGCAGCTGGGGAAGAGGGGGGCCTTATTCTTCGGCCTTGAGTAGGACAGTACTTAGAGCCAAGGGGCTATGAGGAGGGGGGTGCAGATGAGAGGAAGGACAGCTAAGCCACCCCTGGAATGCAGGCTTCCCTGAAGGTGCCCAAGCAGGCTCAGTCACCCCTGCCACCCACACAGGTGCATGGCGTAGCCTGGTAGGAACACAGCACAGAGCAGGTAGGGTGAGGGGTTCCTCCTGCTGGTTTCCCTCACCCCCTACCCTGCCAGGAGCCACCCCTCGCTCCTCTCCATGTACTGTGCTTGTTTGGACACTACACAAGCAAGGCCTGCTCTGAAGATACGGTGTTGGGGAAGCTGGGCTAGTTTGCTCCAAGCCTCACTGGGCTGTGGCTCCCAGGTGGAGACAGAGCCCAGACTCTGGTGCTGGTCCAACAGTCTCCTCCGATACCTGTGGGAGCAGCGCAGGAGCCCAGGGCACAAAGTTGTCTCCACTAGCCTCGAGGCAGATGCCACAACCCCTGGATAACTCTGGGCAGAGTTTTTTTCTTTTTGGCCTTAGGGACTTAACTCAATTACAGGGAGGATGGGTGCCTCCCGCAAAACCCACAAGGCCCTCAGGCTCACAAATCCAAGTGTGCTGTGGCTCCCCCTCCTCCAAACCCAGGCTGCTGTGACTCCCCCTCCACTCCAGCTTGGGGCAGCCAGGGAGCTGGGAAGAAGGGGCATACCTCCATCTAATTCTCAAGAAGGAACCCTGTGGGTAGAGCCTGCCTGAAGGGGCTACCTGGCTGATTAGGGCTCAATGGCCCAGCCGCCCCTCCTCCCTGGGCCTCCCAGTTCCCTGGGGTCATGGTCGATGGGCATCACAGACAATGGTCTTGAGGCACTGTCACTGCAGTAGGTGACTCATCCTATGGCCTGGGGGTTGGGAGGAATAAGTGCTCTTTCTCCCCTTTGGGATGACATAAGCAAGCTGGGTCTTCTCATCCACCTTCTCCAACCACAGGATCCAGTCCCTGTGCTGCGCCTGGACTGGTAAGGGGCCCCCTGCCTCCCTGGGGTTGGGGGAGCACATCAGCATAGGACGCTGAAATGCAGCAGAATGCAGTAACTGCTCCTGTCCCACAGGGTGACAAGGAGATTCCCAGGGTCTCACATCTCTGTCCAAACCCAGGGAGCTAAACTGCCTTTTTCTCATCTCTGACTCCCTAAGTCCCATAAGAGTGAACCCTCACACTGGCCCAGGCATCTTGGCGGAGGATTTCAGAGGTGCGTGGAAACACCCTTGCTTCTAGGGTCCGCAAAGAGCACCCCCAGCTTCTGTCAACGCCTTGGCTCCTTTGACATCACTGCCGACTCCAGGACGGCCTGGGCTGGAGGAGCCTCGCCACGTCTGGGTTCCCCTGGCTCGCCTAGCCTCCGGTGGCCGACAGGCGGCTAGGGCCTTAGGGAACTGCCTTGGCCTTGGCCTTGAGCCCGAGGGGCGGGCGCCGCTTGCAGCCGCCCCGCCCCAGCCTCGGGCCGCGCCGCAGGTCCAGCCACCTTCCCAAAGGCCCAAGCGCCACTCTTGCTGCGTGCCTCGGCGCGGGCCCTTTAA